TCTCGGGGAGGGCGACGGAGGAAAGGGAGACGTGAGCCGTGCCCTCTCCCCGTCGGCTGGGAGAGGTGGCTTTTCGAGCCAGCCTCGTTTCGCCCGCCACTCGAAATTAGTGGCATCCATCGTCGTTTGCCATCATCGGGGAGTGTTGCGTCGTGCGGCCAGATCGCTCGCCGTCGGATGCTTGGCCGGCGAGAACTTTAACGGAGGAAGGAAGAAGAAGCAGAAGAAGAAGTAATGCCAACCGTACACACTATCATAGAGACGACATCAGGCCGCCCGTCAGCCCATGCCCAGTGCTCATCGGAAAGCGGCGATCAGAGGGAAAGGGTCACGAGGGGGGAGTGACTTCTAGGGGTTCTGCGGACGGTATGGAGAGGAGTCTAGCGCGTTGTGGACGTGGAGCAGGTAGAATGGATGCAGAAAATTCTGAGGGGCAACGGACAAACAGAGTAACACAGACAGATAAAAGCTTTAGCTTCAGCCGGATCGCCCTGCAGCAAACCGGTAACTGCAGCAGTGCCAGAAACTCCGACAGACAGAACGAAGAAAGAGTATTGTATTTTATGCACCCAGATCCATTCCAAACCCACACACTGACGAGGCACACAGAACGAGAGGAAAATCGGAATACGAACAGAAACACGACGGCACGCAAGAGAAGAAGAAGGAAGCAACCATGTACAGAAGAAAGACACACAGCATCATGCCATCCATCGGTACCTCTACTAGTAGTAGGCCCTCTACAGAAAGCCCAAACCGAAATCCACCGAACAAAACCCCGGTCCATTCGTACACAACAACGTCTTCAGCCTCGTATCAGCATTTGGTTGGCCAAAGTCTGCATCTGCGAAGCTAACAAATGCATATTCGGACGAGTTGGGCTCAACACACGGTCCGTATTATGCGGTACTATACTGTCATGTGAATCTGGGGAAAGGCGAGGCGGGGCGGGGGCGGGATCATTGCTCAAGGATACTCCCAGCCGTTGTGACCAGATTCGTCAAGTCGACACGGTAGGTGGATCTTCTGACCTCCACTGATGACCACGGAGGCTCGTAGATCATAAGGGGATCGGCCATGGAGGGACTTCCGGTCTGTGTCGTCGTGGACGTCTGTGTTGATGTTGTAGTCGATAGGATTACAGGAGCGTTGTTCTGGGTTGTTGCATTCGAAGAGGTGTTGACGGGACTGGAGGAGGATTTTGGCTGAGGTGCCATCGGATCCGAAAAAGTGCTGAAGAATATCAGCTTCAATTGCAACGTTCACCTAACTTAGCCCCCGCGGGTGAGGAGGGTACTAACTTATCGTTTGTGGGCTGAATGTTCATGACAGCGAGCAGCCCTCGAACGGTCCGGTATGATAAGTCTGGTAGGTTCTCTAGCGAAGTGTTGGTGTTGGGCCTCTCCAAGTTTTGGTTTATGCTTCGGAGAGCTGGCTGACGACCGGTGTTAGTTGGTGGGATGCTTCCACCTTTTAAACTGTGGTCAGTGTTCACATTAGCCCCAAGAACGAGAAGTTGTGGGTATCCTTGAATGCGGGAGGATCTAGTGCGGCGAATGGAATTCCATCTTAGGCTTCAGTAATCCGAGCGGACCACCTACCACCCTCCCTACCGAAAAACTGCCCAGTCATTTTCTTTGGATTGGTTAGCGTGTGAAAGAACAGCTTCGCACAGTTCAGTCGACAGCGGAAAGATGTGGTTCAATTTTCACGGAAGTTGTTGGGAAAGAGTGCTAGGTAGGGGACCTACTTCTTGCTTTCTTACTTACTTACTCAACGTAAGTACACAGGTAAGTACATGTAAGTCCGTACTTACCTCCCGTGCTTGGCCAGAAAACAAAATACCTACTCTACACATCTCCCTCCGCATGTTGGTGTTGTTATGTAGTACATACTCGTACGGATTGAACCCAACCCCCATGGTTTCAGCACGGGGTGTCGTGCACAACGAACACTGCTCACAATCCTAGCACTTTTGGTCTGGACAGCTTTCTATGGCTTGCCATGCTGAGAAACGGGACGGTTAGTTGCCCTGTCGAGAGTGTGAAGATGACAGCTCAAGGATCGCTCGATCCCCCGCGAGTCGCGGCTGGCCACCGGATGGTAGAGTAGAGTAAATAATACCCATCCCCTTCGCAGTGGACGATGTGGAGTAGTTCCACCTTCCCTCTGGTTTTTGTTTTTGGCTTTTGTTGTTTCGTTCATAGTGGGTTATCCACTGCAGTAGGAATACGCATACTTGGTATGTACCTTCGATGGCCAGGAGGGATGGAGGGAGGGAGGTCAACGGATGCAATATCTAAATATTTGACAGCCTTACGGTACTACGTACTGTATAGTGAAGGGGAGGGTATAAATACGCTGTTTCCGTATCGGTACGGTCAAAGATCGTATTAGTACGGTCAAAATAGGTATTTTGACCGTACTGATACGCAAAAAGCGTATTTTTTACCCCCCCTTCAATATACAGTACTTAGCGACTCGCGCGGGATATTGTTCAAAATTCCGGATCGACCACTATGACTTGCAGGGTTATAATCAGGTTCCAGGCAGAGGATTATGGATATTTTGTTCTGCCGCAACTTAACTACATACTTATTTCCTACCACTGGTCCAAACTGATCCGAATTTTGCTGGGAGCTGCATAGGTACCCCCACAACCATACATACTCACACAGACCTAAACCCCAGTGTATGCACCCCGACGCTATAGGTTACAAGCTGACGGAGCCTTCGCCCCACCAATGCTGTTCCGATGCCAAGCCGGGTGCATTTCACCGAGTCGTGTAGTTTTCTTCTACGGCACGTACCACTCGGGTTGAAGCTGTGCACCTATCATGAGTCGACATCGAAAATTCTCCGTACGACCTACGCTCCCGGGCCTAACGTCTAGTGCCCGGAGTAGAGCCAATAACCGCCTCCCTGAATGGCCCTTCATATGCACCTTACGTATCTACATCGCGCGCCTCGCTTCAGGCCACCCACGTAACATGTGCTCGAAGATGGATGCGAAGTTCGAACTCATGTAGGTAGATAAAACTTTAAAGTGGATTGTGTGCAACGATGATCACGACCGTTGGCTGCGCCTCAACGAACAGAGAGCCAGGAATATATCTTGTCCAATCGCGAATAGGAACTGACGTCGAGACCCGAGACTCGGGAGAGGCCGTTCTCCGAGTCCTTAATTAGCCGAGGCTGGAGGATTGCTCGCGTCTAATGAGAGCAGCACATGGAAGCCACAGCCGCTGGGCGCTCTGAACCTCACTGCAGACTTTACAGCTGCGAACCTCGGCGCGGACGATACGGGTGGGCCCTGGAATGCGACATCGTTGGCGCGCGGCAGCGATACGCTCACCGTCGCGGACTTCTCGCTGGATGATTATCCGTTCGTTACTGTCGCAGGGGACCCGAGCCGAGTCACGGTGCCACAGGGCTTCATCGGTATCGGTCGAGACTCGACTTTCCTCGAGGCCGTGGTGGAGGAAAACGTTATCGAGAAGAAGTTGTGGGCGAATCACAACTTCACGTATGATTTCGGCGGTGTAGTCGAGAGCCGTTATTCGGGTTCCGTCTACAAGTACGACCTACCGAAGGACTCGTCTGCGCTGATGGTCAGGGTGAAGGACATCTCCCTGGGCGGGAAATCCTTACTGAAGCCTGGTACCGGTAGCTTCGATGCGCGGTTGACAAAGTCCTATACTGCCCGTGGGACCCACCTCCCCGAGTCTGTCTACGCAAACTTTCTCTCCGCCATCGGCACTGGGTGGGACATAATCGAAGGCTCCCTTGAACTGCAGGACTCCAAGAACCCGCGCACCAACTACACCATCACGGTAACGTTGGACAACGACTTCGTTTTCACCGTCAAGGAGGAGGATATCCGGCTCGAACGTCGAGTCTTGAACGAAGATCAAACCGCTCTTGAGTCTACCGGAATTTCAACCATCGATGTCTTCTCCACCAGACCAAGTATCTACACGGACCTCGCCACCAAACCGCCGTTCGGCTTGGAGCCGGGGTTGCCGATCATCGGACCCGATTGGTTGCTTGACGTGTACTTGATGGTCGATTACGAGGACGATACTCTGGGGTTGGCGAAGTCTACCGAGAGGAGGAATCGGGATGGAACGCTGGCGACGGACGAGGGCTCTGGCGATCAGAATAGCACTACCGGCTCAAGCGGCGGCCCCAGTGCTGCCATAGCACTTCGGGAAGCGCCCGTGTGGTCTGTGTCTTTGGCGGTAGTTGCCTGCTGTATGTTTATGTCATAAAGTAGCCGATGTTGGGGTTATCTACGGGGTGTATGTATTAATGTGGTTGAGTTTCATTTTTATCGAACCATGTCATATGACACTTCAGTGTTCCAGTGATGATCATTCGTTCTATGCTGCTGGTCAGCGGAGAACCGCAGACCAACAGTATCAATTCAAAGAGACCGATGAGCGAGTGACGGCTGTGATCCTCATGCTAACTAATATTTGTGAAGGCACATGTAGAGTAGGTACGATACATGTCATACTTGTGAGAAAACCTCCTCTTCGTGACTCGCGGCAGTACCCTCGGCAGCCAGACGGACTGTTGACTTTTGGCGTAGTTTGGGCCGGTTTAACGGCAGCGCCCTGGTCGGCGAATGTATGTATCTGCCGGTGCGAAAAATATACAAAAATTGGAATAATGAGGACAGGGAGGACAGGGAGGACGGTAGTATGTCTGTATGTGCTCCCAATTGCTTCATCAAAGATCTCAATTCATCGAGAAACATGATTACGGCGATCGGCACTCCGTACGGCTATCTCATCAAACAATCATGATCAGTCGGTTCCATTCGGAGGGGGGCCGGAGTTTGGCTGGCAGCAGTGGTGGGACAATGTTTCGGTAGAATGCACATGCCCTCCGATAGCGTCCGATCGCGAGCTGCCACACTGTGTCCCGTGGGACGGGAGCCGAGACAGCAATAAGTGGCAATGACGTAAATTCAACGCTAACTACCTGGCTGGCAACCCGCACTTTCCGTCCATCACTGCGCTTCTCAACTCGAATCTTTAACTTTCATCTTCACCAAGCAAAGCCACGATTATCTACAATCTTAACTATCCTATCCACGTACCATATTCCACCATAATACTCCACGCGGTCTCTCCTCGTCCCGTTCTCGGCTCCGGTGTTGCTGCTCCAATGGTCACAGGCGTGGCCAATCTGAAAGCAGGCTGCCTGTTTCGACTTCGAGAGGCCGTAGCCCCCCAGATCAGACCGAAGAATGTCACGAGCGATCTTCGGAAATCCATCAACCTCTGGGACTTCCTTGCTATCGATGAACGGCCGCTCATGATCGTGGATAAGCAGATTGCCATCGCGAACCGCTACAACTCGGACATCTATGAATCCATAGTCTTCAAGAATCAGGCGTTCGATCGGATAGCTGCGTGCATGGACGTGAGCGGGTTCCTTCGGGAGGTGCTGGACGCCAAACCCGCCTCGCCGCTGCATTTGTCCGGCAAGACGTGGGGGAACTATGTTCTCCAAGATGGGAACTACATCGTTATCACGAGTGAGGCTGCCCAATGCGAGGAGACGTTGAATTGGACGCCGGCCGAAGGCTGGAGACCCTCCGAAGCCCCGAGCTCAAGCTATCTGTTTCAATACGTTCAGACCGAAACCTCGAAGTACGAAGTGATCAAACGTGACTCGATACCCCCGACGAATCCAGTGCTGGACTGGACACGCAAATCTTCGGCACCGTGGGTACCCGAGCACTATTCCGAATTTCAAGCGGTGAACTGGAAAGATACGGCTGTAGGAGAGATGAGCGGTTGGTCGGGTTCAATGAGAACAGGTAGGTCGTCATCTTGCCGCGACCTTTCACGACGAGAGATTGCATTGGGGACACCTGCTGAATGTGGTAATAGTCATAAATACTATCATGGTCCACCCCTATCAGATGGCGCTGTACTGGGGCAAAGAATACGTCGTTATATACAATGCATCGTACAAAGACTGTGTCCGGAGGAGACATCCACACTTACTCGGTCAGGAACTGGCAAAAGGCTGGAAAGAAGCCTACGACAAGATTCGGGAACATCTCGATTCCTGCCGAAGAGGCATCAGTATCATCCGGAGTGGGGATTGCGCCCCTGTTGATCGAGTCGACGTGGACGAAGAGTGTTACTTTGACTGGACGCTCACGCCGATTCTGGAAAAGGCAGGCAATGTCGGAGGGGTCCTCTGGCAACAGTACGAAGGTACTGCACGCATTCTGCAAGACAGGCGTCGTGAGATGCTCCGATTACTTCGACAGTCTACCGCCAATGCACGGAGAACAGTCGACTTTTGGCCGGCGGTGCTTGAAGCGTTTGACTCGAACACCATCGATACCCCTTTTGTGGCACTATACGAGATCGTCGGAGACGAAGCCAGAAATTTGGGAACGAGGGGCATCCCGTCGGGTCACTCTGTTGCGCCACGGGTCATCGACATTCCGGCATACGCGGGGCTGTTCGCCAGCGAAATACGAGAGGCTCTCCTCGATGGGAAAAAGAAGGTGAAGAATAATCTCCTGGAGTATGCTTGTATGCGCCTCCTGGCACGCCGCGGCTTCAAAGCCCCGTGCTCCACAGCAGTGGTTATCCCAATAACATCCGTGTGCGATTCCGAGTCATTTCACTCGGAAGCCTTCATTATCCTAGGCATCAACCCGAGAAGGCGAATGGACGACGATTATGAGACCTGGATCGACCAAATCCAGGACAATATCTCCGAATATCTGGCAGGGGTTCGAAATGCGGAGATACTGGTGGAGCAGGCGATGCAAGAGCAGTTGGCTGGTTTGCATACCCTCCATATCGTACTGAGTGATTCTCATAATTTTGCAGACGTCGAGAGACGGAGAGCATCCGAATTGTCTGACAAGCTCCGTGAGGTTGAGGCTCGGCTTCGAGGGAATGAATTGAGATTCACAGAAGTAGCTCCGCCTCGGTAGTTTTTTTTTTCTTCAGGATTTAACCATTGACGCCTAGTGTCTTTTGCAGTTGTTTAAGTCTATTCCTGTAGGTCTCCTCGAAATGGACCGAGACGGAGCCGCAATCCTTGCTAACGCTGCGTATGAACCACTCCTTTTCCCCCTCGGAATGACGTCTTACGCTGATGATGAACCTGCAGCTGGCACGAGATAATGGGGGTACCCAAGCAAGGCTATGAGACAACGTGGTGCGAGTCCATTCATCCAGACGATCGGGAAAGGTGCTCACGTCTTATACACGCTTGGCCACCTAACTACACCACCATTAGCAGTCGTGGCCATTTGCCAATCGAGTATAGAGTCATGGAAAAGACAGACGGTGTCTTCAATAAGCACAAGGTGAAATGGGTCGTAAGCGAGGTGTTGGCGGTATACGACGACAATAGTAAGGTCTTAAATGGATTTTATTCTACCTTGACAGACATCACTCTACTGAAGCTCGCTGAGACGACGCAAAAGATGCGAGCTGATGAAGCATTGGAGAGGACGAAGCAACAAGGTGGATGCCCACCTTCTGTCTCGACCTGGGGATGCTATTTATTGACACCGGAGGTGGCAGAGCGATTTATCGACATGACTTGCCATGAGCTTCGCAACCCGCTGAGCGCAATTTTGCAGTATGCCGAGCTCATTTTGGATCGCATGGACGACCATGAGAACCAGGGGATCAGCACCATCGATGACCTGGCCGACACCATCACGGAGGCCTGCAATACCATCATCCTCTGTATAGCTCACCAGAGGCGTATCATTGATGACATCCTGGTCACGAGCAAACTGGATTCTGGCTTGGTGAACGTCGAACCAGTCGATTTCCAGCCCGAGTTTTATTTGCGGGAATCGGTGAGGATGTACCAGGCCGACGCCGAATCGAAAGGGATCGAAATGTCCTTCATCGTTGACCAGTCTTTCAATGATCTGAATGTGAAATGGCTCAAGGGAGATCCAGCCCGAATCATGCAAATCCTCAGCAACCTGATCACCAACTCCATCAAGTTCATGTCGGGACGGGCAACAAAAAAGCTGGATGTCATGGTGGGAGTGTCCCTAGAAGAGCCCACATCGGTTGGTGAAGTCCAGTTCGACAAGAATCATTCAGAAGACATTTCCGCAGCCACTTCCATCGTTGACAATCCCCAATGGGGTGATGGGGAGATTGTGTATCTGATAATTACCGTTCTGGATACTGGCATCGGTATAGAAGATGACTTCCAAAGAATTCTTTTCTCACGGTTCCAGCAAGCGCCGAAAACAGAGACGAAGTACGGTGGCTCAGGTGCGTTTTGTGATTTCCATCTTCGTTCTATCAGACTTTTTTCTCACGTATTGAATTTTCTCCTAGGTCTCGGGCTATATATATGCAAGAACCTGGTTAGGTTGTTGGGCGGATCGATAGATGTGGCTTCGGACAAGGACTGCGGCGCTCAATTTTCGTTTTATGTGGCGACCAGACGAGGTACGAAACCAGAAATGGAACCAGAATGGCTTGCTCAATTGTCCGGAAGGATGGCGAACTCCCCACGCAATTCTCGGAATACATCTCAGGAACCCGCTAAGGATTCCGAGCACTCTCCGGCCTCTCCGGGTTCGAGACGATCTTCGGCAATCAATGGATTTAAGATCCTCGTCGTCGAGGACAATGTCATCAACCAGAAAGTGCTGAGGAGGCAGCTCGAGGCAAGGGGATGTGTTGTGTCAGTTACTCTTCGCTCTGAATGTTTGTACCTGACTAATCCCGGACAGATTTACTGCCAATAATGGACAGGAGGCGGTTGATTTCGTTCGGAAATCTTTATCGGAGCAGCGCGCCGGGTCAGATGCGCATGAGGTGGAGATATGCTTCATGGTAGCTTTCCAGGCGTTCCTTCCCTGCAGATATATGGCACTAATGCGATCCTAAAGGACTGCGAAATGCCTATCATGAACGGAATAGACGCGACCAAAGAGATCAGGCGGATGCAAGCTGTGGGGGTTGTATCCCGTCACCTGCCCATACTGGGTGTTTCTGCGAACGTCAGGGGTCCCAAAGGTAGGGTCTATTGTTGAGACGAGACGGATATATATCTAATTCCCATTTCCTACAGTGCAAGAAATGAAAGACGCCGGAATGGTAGGTGCTATGTACCCTTTCCTTCGACTGTCGGTGCTAATAGAACTACAGGATGAGATTATATCCAAGCCATTCTCAATCGATGAACTAATACGAAGGGCCGTAATGCTTGTGAATGCTCAGTACGTGGAGAGCTGGAGCAACGAGCATGCGGCGGAACTGCGGGAAGCTGTCGGTTCTGTCGGCCTCATCATAGGAGAGGGAAGCCGGAAGAACTCCATCACAGAGTATTCGGAGCATATTCATTGAAGACAACAGAGGAGGGTTATGTGTTTTAGGCGTTTGATTGCGGGAGTTCAATGGTGTCTGTGACAGCGCTTCGATTGTTTGCTTGTGGTGTTGAGGATGGAGTTTTGGGTTGTATTTTTTAGTGATAATATATGATGTTACTACATTCAATGCGTCTGCCAGAATAACTCCATCACAGAGTATTCGGAGAAGGTGTGGGAAGGAACAGCGGGCGTGACCCCGGCTCCTCGACCTCAACACCCTTCTCCTCCTCCTGCTCCTCCCGCCTAAGCCCTGCCTTCCTTTCTTCCCGCTCCCTGAACTCCCACTCGGACACCTCACTCGCTGCATCTTCCTCAAAGGCCTCTGGCATCCGTCTGTCCGCAGTCGATACTAGATGAGGGCGGTTACGAGGCACCTAGCACGTCTCCACAAGCCGGTAGTGCGGTTTCCTCGTGGTTTCTCGTCCGCTGGCAATTCCGATAGCGGCGAGAGACAATAGCTATGTGTTTCTGATATCCGTCAGGCTTTTTCCACATTCCAAGCTTTTGTTTCTTGTTTAACCATTAACTGCATGCCACCCGTCGAGATCATAATAGTGTACCGCATTCCAAGCGGTTTTTTTTGTTTAGTCATTATTGCATTCGACCTTAGTAAATCATGGCGGGTTACATTTCCGTTTCCACTCGGCTGTCACCGACAGCTGGCCGCATGCTCGATACAGGTTCCCTATTGCTTTCCCCACAGCCCTCCCTGCGCCTCCCTGCTCAACGCTCAACCCTCCCCGCTCAACCCTCCCCGCCCAACCCTCCCCATTCAACCATCCTCACTCAACCCTCTCCATTCAACCATCGCCGCTCAACCCTCCCCATTCAACCACCCCCGCCCAACTCTCCTCATTCAACTATCCCCGCTCAACACCAGCACGGAAGAGAGAAATAAGGCAAGAGAGAATGAATGAAGGTATCCGTTAGTTCAGCTCTCGTCCCGTTCTACCTCCTATGAGCTCAACCAAGAAACTCAGTTCCTCGTTCCTACCACCCGGGAGTTCAACTATGTCTTCCGGGCCGTCTCCCAATTCGTCCTGTATCCTCTTTCTCATCCAAGCATTTCAAGCGTCGGAATGCCTCCCCTTCGGTGCTCGTTATATACCGAGTGAGAGGATCCCCTACCTATCCGAGTCATGTGATTTCAGTGTGAGAAAGTAACTCGGAGCACTGCAGGTAACTGCAAGGCGAATCAGAGCTCGTGAGGGCGGCGAATGCCCCAAACCACACAAAGAAACCCACCAGGTTGGTCTATTCGACTGTCGACATTGCGCCGAATCACTTTGGAGCACGGTGATCATGCTTCATTGCTATCAACCGCTGCTTTCCCGCTTGCGCCCTCGGCACGTCAGGTCCAACAACAATATTAACAAGCCAACCAGCCACATCTCTATCGTTCTCTCCGTCGGTAGTTATCCCAAACAGGTCTGGCACCCGGGGGGGTGACGGACGCGTTTCCATCCGCCATCTACGAGCAGCGTCGGTGCACGGATCACTTTGCACCCCGATCTCCGGGCGGGTTGCTTCTTCTCCGCCGCAGCGGGTGGAGCGCACAGCTGCTAGCAGTGGACGTCTACCATATCACACGAGCGATTAACTATCCGCTAGCTACATAGCTTGCACGACCGATCAAAGGTGATATCAACTTTATCGTCTTTTTACAACGCGCGCGACGGACGTCAATCGCGATGGTTGACGACGTGGGCCGGCCCGCGTTAACTCCACGCAGAGGGTGCGAGAATCGCGCCTTTGCGTTTCCTCCATAGCTAGTGGAACGTTCTTGGCAATGTTTCGACTCGGATCGGCGATATTGCCCGCCATCCGGCTTGCGTGCTCTGCTCTGCTCGCCTGGCCGGACAAGCGGATACGGTACTTACTGCCCAATGGCGAGGTCGAGACGTCGATGCTTCATCACCATCGCCCAAACAATGCGGGCCGCTGCTGCTTCAAACATGACAGCTCCTACTAGCAGTAGCATGGCTGCTCCACCAGCCACTAACAAGATTCAGGGAAATGTCAGCCTTTTCGAACGCACTAGGTGCAGTGTTTACGCAGTACAACAAAGGCGGGGAGAGGGGGGGGATTGTGACCATCGATCGGGAACCATTGTAGCCTCGGCCGCGGGGGGGAGGGGGCGAGTCAGTGGCCTCAGCCCAGGTCTACGACCCGGATAGTGACTGAACCCCCAAGTCTCAGCCCTATTTCGAAATTGACTCTGACCTTCTCGGTCCCAGGCCACGGCTGGATCCAGGCCGGGTCTCATCGTGGGGTTTGACCAGCACGCAGGGGGGCGAGCAAGTAGGTACCTACATGCGTGCGTCCCTCCAGACATCAGAGCTTGGTGCGAGTAATTCGTCCGGGATGTCTCCACGTCTCGATCCAGAAGGGAAGGCCAAAAACATGGGTACATAAAAGTAATGGCTAATGGGAAAGAAAAGAAAGAAAAAGAAAAAGAAACCCATCCACGTCTGAAATGGGATCCGCAGAAGTGTGGATTGCGTGTGTGCGTGCGCGCGGCTCGGATACCTAGGTAGCTTTCAATGGATGGAGCTTGCACGTTGGACACTGGAGTTGGATCCTGCCTGGGTTGGCTGGCTGGTTGGCCTCACTCCAGCGCCGCAAGTCTCGTGCCCCCTCCCTCTAACAATGCCATGTATCGACAACGAGAGGAATGCCTGCAAGCTCTAGCTAATTGCAGGCTTCCGGAGGGATGCGACTGGGACGCATGACGGGGCGTCTCTGATGTGGGTTGGTAGGTACGAGATGTACGGTCTGCAACCTCTTGATCCGGCCACGGGTGCAGAATACATCTCACGACGACAGCGACTTGCCATGAATACCTCGAGAAGCGCCAATGAGTGAATTACTCCAAGGAGAAGAAGAGGAAAAGAAGCAGAAGAAGAAGCAATACACGTCTTCGGCGAGTCGGTCGTGTCGTGTGGGCTAGCTACTACGGTACCTACTATTAGGTACCATACGGCCATACGACCGTACTACCCACCACGGTGCCGCCAACGCGCGCAGCACACGCAGCTCCAAGTCCGGAAAGCGTCTCCGACGTACCATAGGCATCCGACTACGTTGCGTGCACGTCCCCCCACCCCCCGCATTCCAGAGCTCGGACTCCAAAGATGCACTCGTGTATCATACAATCATACATGTTGCCGTGTTGTTGGGTTCTACCAAAAGCACGAAATCTACTTATGTACAATACATACTAACTTTTGTTAATAGGTAGTATACCCCCAAACCACCGGCTCCCTGCGCATCAGCCAATGTTCGCGGGCCGCAACGATCTCAACAAACAAAGAGTGCCCCGTGACTCGCGCAACTCGCCACCCGCGCCGCGCCGTCTCGAGTCTTCCGTGGGAAGCAGTCCATTCTCGGACACGACTGCGTCCTCCGCCCGCAGGCTCATCCGCAGGCTTCTGTGCTGGTTTTGGTGGTGGGGTCGGGGGGCGGGGGGGGGGGGGGGTCGGACGTCGACGTGCTACCTTTCCCCCAGTACCTGCTCACCAACCTACCTAGTAGCATCCAAGGCGGCCGGTTTGCTGCTGCGGCGCCGCGTTGGTAACTGGTTGGCCATCTGGAGTCTTCACCTCCATACACCGCACACACCGCACCCTGCATACGGACGTCCGACATCGACATCCAAGGATCAAGGCCCAGTTCGCGATTCTGGGACGTGGCTGAGACGGTGAGACGCTGAGACCACCCGGATCGAGGCAAAGACTTGCCGGTATGTACTGTACATACCTACATACCAGTTTACATACTCACTCATTCAGGGCCGGTCGGTGGTGGGCGTGCACCACCAGCTATTTTTTCTCGACTTTCCGCTGCAAGCGGAACGCAGGGTCTGGCTATGTAGCATACACACATGCATACCTACATACATACCTCGAGCTGTTGCGGAGTACATATTAAAAAGTACAGTACATAACTGCTCTAACTAACTAGTGGCAAACCTATCATGGCCGTGGGTCGGTGGGAGACTAGACCGCTTGCGTGCTGCACGTCTGGCTGGCTGGCTGACTGAATGGCTGGCTAGATTGCTTCTTTTCCTCGCGGCGTTCTGCGGTTTGGAAGTTCCGCGCTGCTGCTGCTGCTGCGGCTGCTTCTCCGCAATGCAAGCCTTCAGCCTTTGGAATTTTTGCCTTTTGCCGCACGTACTCTACAGACGTATTGTACATACATATAACAAGTTGCGGAGGTGGCTTGGACACGGGACTCTGGGGGCGTGTCGACGGCTCTTGCTACCGCCGGCTGCTTGCTTGCTTGCTTGATTTATTCGCCGGCTGCTTACTTGGTTATGTATTCGCCGGCTGCTTACTTAGTTTATTCGCCGGTCAAGGCTTGCATATGCCACTCCGTGTGGGGTACATGCCCTTGCTGCTCAGCTAACCAAACCTCGCTTGTACCAGGGGGCCGGGGGGGAGGGGAGTGAAGTGGAGTGGGGAAAACACAAGCAGGCAGACAGACTTCGGCGCCGTTAACGCAGCACTCACTCACGCACTCACTCACTCACCCCCGAGAGTCGGGAACCATGGCTGCGTCCCACGCTAATGAGCTGTAAGTAGTACTTATGGTGGGGGACGCCTAGTCCCGATGCAAAAACACCCCCAACTTTGACACCTATCTCCTCCCACAAAACCACTCCAAATTCTTAAAGCTCGTTGTTAGTCGATAGACCAGGGTATTTAGATCCACTTAATAACGAGTTTTGAATTTTAGAAACCGTGGTTGATTTTCCTTTGAATTTAGAAAAAAAAGTGATTTTGGTGGGGCGCTCCCCCGAATGTCCCTCTCCTAACCCCCTAACCCCCTAACCCCTGCCGAATTCCGGATTAGGAAGCTGCTAGCTCAAGAAGCCACATATGAGCCACATATGAGCCACATATCACGGTCATTTTGTATTTCATAAGCATCATTGAGTGTGCCTGGACCCATGGACAGCCCGATCAGGTGAGTTAAGGACCATAATAGGCCGAAATGTGGACTAAATATGGCTGAAAAGGGAATTAAAAATGCCATTTTTTGCTAAAATAAATCTCAAAAATCGCTTTTTATTACCCGTTTTGAAATTAAATTCGATTTTTCCACGAATGTCCCACTACATCGCGACTAGGAGTCCCCCACCATACTTGGGTAACTGTGGTACCGTATGCTTGCTAAGAAGTTTGAGGCGAGCCGAACACGTCCGCTTGGCACTCGGATGAAATTACTAAGTATAGCGGCCTGCCTCAGTTGCCTCATCCATCCATCCATCACAAAGCTTCACTCGCACGCCGACCAAACACCGCACCAAACACCGGATGAACATGGAGCGTGAGTGTGTATGCATGGCAGCATGGGGACCATTCAATCGCGCAATGGGGGGATGAATGGCGGGTATCCATCCGATCCCCAATCACCAATTCCCCAATTCTCCTCTCGCGCTCAACCTTAAACCCCCCTCCCTCCCTCGCCCCCTTGTGACCCAACTCGCGCTACCAGCGATCGCAACACGATCTCCCCCTTTTTCTTCGATCTCTCCACCATCTTTCCATCTATATATCTAGGCGGTGGTGGGTTTTTTTTCTGCTCATGCGTAATAGACTTTTGCTGCGTTCTCTTTCGCTTTCTCGTGACCGTGGGGGAAGAGAGAGGCGATGCGGAGGGGAGGAGGGGAGGGAGGGGTTGGGGAATGGGGAAGGCGGCGCCGACTAAGGTTCGTAGATTGCTGGTTGCTGGTTAATTGCTGATGCTGGTTGCTGGTGGATAGAGTAACCGTGGGCGGTGGTGGTCGTGGATCCGGACGAAGCGTACGACTGTTGCGGACGGACGGCCAGCCCGCTTCGGGGGTACATATCCACGGTATCTACTCTACTCTATATCCAACCGCAAACGCCAGTCAAGGTACCTACGGTATGTACCATACTCTTGGGGAACGGAACGGAAACAGCTGCACAATCTACTTCCGCTTCCGCTTCTGCTGCTGCTGCTGCTGCTGCTACTGTGGGCGATGCTGCTGGCGATGCTCCGGCTTGTCTCTACGCCGATTCAACACCCGCCTGCCGCGGCTATGTGCATCATCACCATCACCATCACCATCACCATCACCATCACCATCACCATCACCATCACCATCACCATCACCATCACCATCACCATCACCATCACCATCGAGCCAGCCAGCCCCCCGCCATCCTTGACGACATGGCAGACGACATGGCAGACAGTTACTCCAGCGGGCTAGTTAGCTGTTGCGTGGCCCCTCGTGTCGTCGTATTGTCGGAAACAATTGCTGCTGGGCAGAGTTTTTTGTGATGGTTTCCCCCAAAACACCCCCCCGACCCCGGAGTCCGGACACCAGGACACCCGCCTTAAGCGAGAAACGGAAAATGGATAGGTAGAGGACTACTAAATTAGTAGTACTGGAGGGCACCAGTCCACGTATCTATGTAGGCAAGTAGGCAGGTAGGCAGGTAGGCAGTCACGGGGTGGCGATGTGCACTCATCTCCATCTCCATCGTGCGTGCTTGCGTGCGTGGGGTGCGGGTGGTGGGTGGTGGGTGGTGCGGGGGTTTCCCACGCACATACATACTCCCACATACCCACGTAGCGAGTGTACCGCAAGCTCATCGCCGCTCACTCGCACCCATAGCTACATGACCCCGTCTCGTTCGACTATAAAACGCCCCGATCCCACACACGATTTTCTGATCTCTACAACCCTTCCACTTTTGCTCACCCCAGTGATCTACCCTGCATGCCGCCTTAGCATCAGCATCAGCAGCAGCAGCAGCCCGCACGACGTACGAGGACGAGGTGGAGGGAGGACGCCGGTACGGTTATACCTCTGCAGACGCGTCTTGCCCCCACACGATTATTTTTTTGCGAGGTGGGCAACGGCGGCCACGGTGGCGGTGACCGGTGGCATCCGCTCCGATGGACTTACAGACGGACAGACAGAATGACAGACGGACAGAGGTTGAGCGGCTGAAGCTTTCTCTGCCTACTCTACTTTGATTGAGGTATCTCGGTTCCCCTCTCTCTCTCGAGTCTGACACCGGACACGGGCTCTCCGCTGGCCAGCCCTCCGCGGCCACCACCAATACCATCACTACTACCAGCACCAATACCAGCACTAATACCAGCACTAATACCAGCACCATAATGGTCTCAAACTCTAAATTCTGGAACGGGCATAGCCGCCGCCGTTGTGTGCGAAGGATTAGGAATCGCTGATTCCGATGTGGATGTGGTGGTGCCTGCTCTGCTCTGCTCTGGTCCGATCTGGCCGTCACACACAGCACACACACACCGCACGCACACACCGTCTCGTTACTTCCCCAGGACAGGACAGGACAGGGCAGGAAAAGTATAGAAGATGCAGAAGAACATGGAGAAGAAGGAATTATTGGCTTACATACATCCTGGCAGCCTGGGGTTCTCCGCTGTTGATTGAGGGGGGGAAGGTCCGGACGGCGATGGATGGTACTCTACCTACCTGGGCAGTCCACGGCGAAAGAAACCCCCTCCCCCACACACGCTGCCAAGCATCAATCAATCGTCAGAGAAGTTTTTTCTTTCCTTTTTTCATAGCTCCATACAGCACGCTGGCGGTCGTTTACGCACGCCAGTCTCACGGACGCCGATGAAGAGATTTTTCTCGCCGCGGGGGGCGAATTCCTAATTCCAATGTGGGATGTGGGATGTGGGATGTGGGAGAGTGGAGTATCTGCGGATGGAAGGCGGACTGATGGAGGCGGACGGATGGACGGACGGGACGGGACGTGTTGACGTGACAACACCCAACACCCACCCCAACAATAACCCCGTGGATCAATCTCGCCCTGCGGTTTACGATTCTGATGCGGGGGAGGGGGCACTGTGGGGTTGGCACTGTGGGGTCCGCGGCGGCGCGGGCAGACGTCGTCCGTTTATTGGAGATAGCCAGCACGGAGCAATCAATCAATCAATCTACAAGCAGGCAGACGTTCAGGCAGGCAGGCAGGCAAGCGAAAGATGCAGCACCAGCTTGCGTTTGCGTTTGTGGTGTCTCGTGTTGGGCTAGGGAATCTACCTGTTTGCAGAAACGGGAGTTTCCATCGAGAATCTATCTCCTAGATCTCGGGAGAAGAAGGTTGGCGGACGCTCTAGAACAGAGCTTCGAATACGGCCCCATCATCATCATCATCACCGCCGGCAATGCACACACACCCTTCTGCGAGCGGACGGACGATAGTCGCTCCGCACAGTACAGCATTGCTCTTTGAGGGTGCGGCAAAATGACCAGCAGCAGCATCATCCTACCTACACGGACTGTACACCGCCGACGCCGACGACGCTGTTTCCATCATCGGAGCACCTGCGAAGCTTAAGCTTCAGCTTCGGTTTCCTTCCGATTCGAAAACAATCGACGGAAACGGCCGAACCAGTTGAAAGTGTCAAAAGTGTCGAAAAGCCTATTCAACGGAACACCAACTCCATCAATCTCGATTTACGATCTTTATCATTCCTCGGACCTCCACCCTCCTCCCCCCACGCACAGATTCGCTGCAGTACGAAGGTTTCGCTCCCATGGCGGGGGACTTTCGTCGTATCACCATATCCTGGTGAATATTCCATCATCGTCCACCAACCCCGGGCAGGTCACTACCAAAAAAAACATAGAGGGAGACTGATGAGGAACAAAGAGCGGAATAAACGCCGTTTGCGTACCTGGAATATAGTCCTCCCCTACACTCTTGGATCGGAGATCGAAAGGATGAACCCGTCTCCTTCCTACCTTCGGCGCCGCCGCAGCAAAAAATCAATTCGCCTACCCAGCCTTTTCGTTTCTCCACACTCTTGGTTGTTGCGGCTACAGATCGGACGGGGAGCAGAACACTACGACGTGCAAGTGACGAGCGATTTTTGCTTCGACGGTGGAGCGTGGACCGATGACGAGCGGCGGTGTTCGCTGGCAATTGGCTGACGATTGACCGATTGTCGGTGCTGACTTTTGCTGATTGACGATGGCGGTTGTCATCGCCGCCGTCTCCGTTGCCGCTCTTCCTGGTCGTTCGGTCCCATGACCATCATCCACCACAGAAAGAAAGAAAGAAAAATAGTCAGCGCGCATCACAGAGAATCACTCGCGGTACTCGATCCATCCCTACTCCGACGGAGCGTTCGACACAACGTCACTTGCGGGAACCCAACTCCCAACAGCGTCGAAAGAACCGCCTTTTCTACTTGCCATTCTCGCTCTCTCTCTCTCTTTCTCGCCGCCGAATTTCTGCGCGCCGCTCAGACTCTGGTTCACCCGCCTAACCACCCCCCATGTCCCATCTTTCACAATTTCACCACGTGAGCATCACATCCCGATCCGCCCGCAAAAGTTCCGATCGTCAACTCCCACCATCGTGAGATCCGTCACCACCACCCACCCACCCCTATTTTATGATTTTTGTGTTGGGCCAGCTTGCCTCCCTCCACCTCACCCTCGATCGGCAGTTTCCTTCCCCGCGTTTTCCCAATGGCCTGGACGCGGACGCCAACACAGGAGCAAAGAAGGGTGTGGAGTGCGGGCGGAAGCTGGGGTTCCCCAGATTTTCGAGGCAGCAATGCTAACTCTACTATGTATATGCTCATGCTCCCCACACACCGAGAGTTCCAGGCTGTACTCTACCCACGGCAGGTTGATTAAAGTACCGTTCCCCACACCCGGGGCAACCCACCCGCCCGCGCCCCGACCACCCGGGACTCGAACAGCCTTAACCTCCCCAGGTAGAGTAATTACTCACAATCCTCATTATTTTTTTGGGTCCCCTATACCGTATGTATCCCATCGTACTCTACTCTACTTTAGCTACATATCTACGGTATTCCTGCTCGCGTGCGGTTTCCGTCGAGGGATGGCCGCGGGAACTTGCTCATGTGTTGTCAATCCCGTCGTGTTGGTTGATCTCCAACCAACTGAGGTATGTAGAGTACACAAGTAGGACTTTTGTATATAAAAATAAAAATAAAAACATTAAAATACTGTACTTTGGACGTCAATGTACCGACATAAATCTGTGACAATGACGAGACATGACGTTCAATGATGTCCCCCTCCCCTCCGGAAGCTCCCCCGGGTGCACCCCCGGAAGTGACAAGTATGTAACTACCGCGCCCGTTGCCGCGCCTATGTGTGTATCATATGTATTTTATGTCTTGTACATACGCCCGCTGCCGACGCCGACCCCAACGACGACGCAGACGACGCCGTCATGCCTCGCCTCGCCCGGTGAAGCTGAAGCATCGTGAAGAGGAAGTCCCATCCACCCTACATACTCTCGAGAAAAAATCAAGGCATAAACCCTACCACCACCACGACAACGACGAGAGCGACGACGAAACCGACGGAACCGACAAAACCACCGATGCCGACGATGCCATCGTCATTTACTGCAGTGCACTCACCTAACCTCCGCTAACTACTGCAGCAGCAGCATCAGCGGCGGCGGCAGCAACTAGCATCAGCGGCGGCGGCAGCTTGTACACTACACCAAACTAACCATGCTGGCCCCCGCCGTGTCCAGGTTCACGGTACGCACGGTACGCACGGTAAGGTAGGCACGGTACGGTACGCACCGTCTCAAGCGCGCCGCTGCTCGCCGCTCGCCGGCAAAGATGACCGAGATCGGGGGATTTCACGATGTTCGATGTTCGATGTTCGATTGACTGGGGGTGAAACTGGAGGGGAGAGACGGGGGGAGGGCAGGGGAGGGGGGTCCTGGGGAGGAGGAATACCGGTATCTAAACTCCCAAGTAAGTGTTGGGGACTGGGGGACTCATATAGAGGGAGGTTTAGACGAATGCTGGTGGTCTGTGGTGTGATCCTGATGATCACGATGGTCCTGATGGTCCTGTTGGGGTGTCCGCCAGCGGTCAACTGGAGTCTGGAGTTTGGAGTCTCGTCTGGGAGACTGGGCAGTTGGGCAGTGGGTGTGGTGGTCCGCCCAGCCTACCCAGCCCACCCAGCCCACTGAGCCCACTGAACCCACTGAGCCCAGCCCCAGCCGATCCCGTCTCGTCCCCGTCCCCTTCCTGTCGAGGACTACACACAACCACCAGCGGCATCAGCAGCAGCATCATCATCGTAATCAACATCGTAATCCCCCACTACAATACACACAATATACACACGACACACGACACACGACACACTGCACGCACACTCCCGCCCAATAGCAATCCGATCGAATCCAATCCAATATATACCTACAATCCAATCATTACCAGCCCATACCGTAGCCTCTCTCTCCTACATACTCTATGTAGAGTATACGGTACTATACAGCCCCAAAACCAAAACCAAAACCATGCACTGTTGCACCGTTGCACCGTTGCACGCGACCTCTCCGAAGCTCTAAGCTCGAGCTTTGGTTACGTATCGACCACCAGCAATAGCACCACCAGCACCATAGCTATCATAACCGCTTCCGTCCCCTCCACCCACTCCACCCAACCCTAAGCCCCCAAGCCCCCAAGCCCCCAAGCCCCCAAGCCCCCAAGCCCCCAAGCCCCCAAGCCTCCAAGCCCCCAAGCCCCCAAGCCCCCAAGCCCGCCTAAACAATTTACCTACCCACTTACTTACGTACCCCAGACGGGAACCCAGCCAGCCAACCCAGCCAACCCATACCTACCTCATAACGCATGCCCCATACACCGGAAGCTTGTTGGAGGGGTGGAGGGGGTGGAGGGGGAGGGATCCCAACTTTCTCCTCATGCACCGCCAACCCCAGATCTCACGATGCTACTGAAATCGCTACCTATGTAGAGTAGGTATGTAGAATAGTTAATTAGGAGTCGGAGCCGGAAATATTGTGCGTGTGCGGAGGGAGGGTGGAATGCGGACCCACACACCCACTCACGGGCTAACTACTAGGGATGGGTAGAGGGGGGGGATACGTGGTTTGCCAGCGAGCGTAATTTACTCTATGTACGGGAGGAATGGAGGGAGGGAGGGAGGGAGGGCTTCGAGGGAGGAGAGGGAGAGGGGGGGGGAGGAAGGGGGGGTGGGCCGCGTTTGGGTTAACCACTCTACTTAACGCGTGTGGATATCGTCTCGATGCTTCCTATATCCCTATATCCCTATACAGCTATAGAATTATACACTTATATACCGAGTGAATCGATATCGATATCGCGGGGCAGGGCTGGGTGGTGCGGGAGAAACAACACCAAACACAAAGGGAAGCTATAGACTACAGTCGTCCCCCCGAAGCCTGACGGATCGATCCTGATCCTCGCGGGACTCGGGAGCGCTGTTATATTCCTCGAAAACTCGTGAGCTGAATGAAAGCTCGGCATAGCAGAGCTGTGTAAGAGCTATGTAAGATGTATGCATGTATGTCGGATGTATGTGTGTATGTGGGTGGTATGCATGGTACAAGCAAGCTACCGCTGCTATACCTACCTTCTCTACCTATCGTCAACTACCTTCACCTCACCTCTACCTCATGCTCTACTCTAACAGCTACTCCCGAATCGCATCCAACGAATCCCAAGCCGGGAAACATCCAACCTTCAACCCTCCAACATATCCAACCCCCAACTCGAGACCGTACGTACGTAGCATAGCATAGCATCGCCGTGAACCCACATAACTCTACAAAAGAAAGGAAAAGAGAAAAAACAATACCACATGACGTTCTTTCGCTCGCTACATCACCAGCTCCCCTCCTCCTTCGTTCCCTTCACACAGCCCACTGCCCGATCATGCATCTCATCACCCACCCACCCACGCCGCATCACCGAGCACTGGCCAATCCTTTACTTCCCTTTACATACCTCCCTCCCTCCCTTTACCTCCCCAAGTGCCCTTCCGTCCATACCTTACCTACCCGTCCAGCTACCTCCAAACCTACGAAATAACAAGTTCGAAGCCCTCCTCCCTCAAAAAAGTAAGGAAATCAAAAGTGCAGCAACACATCACCTCTCCCTCTCTCCGCTTCTCCCTTCCATCCATCCATCTCGACTCGTGAGTCGCACCCTTACTAGACTAGTGCGGACAGATCGCGATCGAACAAATAGAGTCACCGTTCAAAACTCTAAATTCCTAAATGCCTAAATCCTAAATTTCGCACTTGGTGTCGGGGAGGTAGCGGAGGTAGGGTACTGTTTGATCTACACACTCACGCTCGCGAGAGAAAGAGAGGGAGCAAGAGATGGAGAGGGGGAGAGAGAGGGAGAGAGGCGAGCTATTCAATCCGAAATCCGAGTAAGTACGATACCCAAACCAGTTAACAAGCCATCACGTTCGCAGCAAGTATTGAATAATTGTTTTGTTTTGTTAAGTTATGTTATGTAGAATTTGTAGAAGTAGAAGAGTAAAGAAGTATCATGATACAGACAGACAGACAGACAGACTCCCAACGACCAGTAACCAGTGACCAGAGTACAGTGAACCCAAAGAAAGTTGCCAACTCCAAGAAACGATGATGATGATGATGATCCTGCGCTGCTGTGTGTGCAAATATGCAAGTATGTGTGTGTGTGCCCCGTTGAAAGCAAACAAACAAAAAAAAACATCCAATCCATCCCACCATGGCATGGCACGGCAACCCTTTTCCCTTCCCCCCCCCCAGCCAACACCACCCAACACCCAAACAGAAAAGGAAGCCTTCCAAAAAAGCAAAATTATACAAGAAGTAAAGAAGGAAAAAAACGGCATCACGCTCGTCAAAAGAGAAAGAAAAAACCAGCCGTAAAAAAACCCCCAGAAAAGCAAACTCCTTTCCCATCCCGCTCCCAAGTAAAATAAAATAAAACGAAATAAAAAAAAAGCCATGTGCAGGTAGGATATGAACGAAAGAAGGAAGAAAAAAAACCCCTAATGACTCCTTTCAAGGCCGAAAGAAAGACACCATAGACAAAATGAGAAAGAAAAGGAAATAAAAAAAGAATAACCAAAATCCGAAAAACACCCGAGAAGTCTAGACCTTCCCCTAACTTTTGATCCCACGCCCCCCCCCCCCCACCCCCCCCTTCATCCTCCTCCTCCTCCTGCTCATCCTCCTTTACAAAAGACCCGTGCCCGTGCCGTATCCCCATCCAGTTCCTTCTATTGCCCATCCATTATGATTGATGTGTTGTTGTGTTGTTGTAAGAGTAAAAGAAAGAAAAAGTCCAGCTCCCCGCCGTGACCCCCGCTCGGCAGATGTCAGGTTGTGAGTGTGTGGTAGTAGTGTAACAATGATCCGCAAGTGTCACGAGTCCGAAACCAGGCGGCCGGCCAATGCGGATCTCCCGATGGATGGATGCGAAACGTCATCCAACCCCCTCTCGAGCGATCGGGCTGAGGGGCTCATCGGAAATGTACAGCAGTCGGACTCATCCTCGCCAGTATCGGTGTGCCATTGCTGTACGTAAGGTACTTTTCTGGGCTCGTCGCCGCCGCCTCCGGCACGTATGGCTCGCCGCGGATTGCGTCAAAGTTGAATAGCGTCCGGAGACTGCCACGTGGGGCCGTAGCGGCAGCAGCAGCAGCCACGTCGCTGTTCTTCCTCTCGCGGTGGGCGCGCTCGTCCTCTCCGTGGTGCGAGCTGCGGCGGTATTGGGTGGTGATGGGCTCGGCTCGTGGCGACACAGGCCCCGACATGTAAGGTGTGACCAGATCGATCGATCGTGGCGACGTGGAGAAGGGGTGTGGCCGGTGCAGGGGAGGCAAGGGGCGTTGCTGTCCTCCGTACTGGTACTGCGTGGGCACGGGGACGGCGTGAGACGTGGTCGAGATGCTGCTGAGAGTGGAGATGGCGCCTGAGGTCATAGCTCTCAGGTGCTGTGGTCGGCGGGGAGGCTGGTAGATGTTGGAGCTATTGGTGCTGCCGGTGGGCGAACCAGGAGTGCAGTCGACTGGCGACGTCGTGCCCGAGTTTGGTCGTGACGACTCGGGGGTGTATGTGTTGATGTTCATCGACACCATGGATCTCGAGAGCGAGTCCTCGTCGAAGCCCCGCACGGGACGAGTGGGGCTGAGGGGCTGGACGTAATTCCTCGAGGGAGCGGTGCCCTCGATGGGGTCGGCAGAGTAGGGAGGGGTCATGCCGAACGAAGTGTAGCTGTAGCCTTGGCCGGGGGATTTGGCCTCGTCCTTGCGTTTGCACTTCTCGGAGCAAAACAGAATGCTGGTGTTTGGCACAACAATTTGCTTTTCGCAATGCGCGCTGCAAATGGAAATCATTGTCAGCGATGTGGTCGATCAAATTGTTCGCACGAGGCAGTATGAAGGATTGATGGTTGCATGGCAGCTGCAGCCAGCTACTGCTAAAAAGCAATAATGGGGGGTAGTTATGCAGCGAGCAACGTCAAAGAGCAGCAACCAGCTGCGCGTCTGCTTGGCTAAACTCTCTTATCACCAATGGGAGATAACGAGCCTAGAACGAAACGAGAACGCCATTGGCGCACATGCGAAGCGCAAGGCAACGCAGCCAGAGGCAAGGAAAACGGGGACGCGATGAGGGTGTGCAATAAATAAATATAGAGTACACACACATTCCTGCGACAGAGCGGGGAGGAAGGGATGATTATGGGGCAGTAGTGGTGGTGTTGCGACGGGAAAAGAAAGTGGCGAGATCAAGCGACGGGATTAGAACAGGAGATGGTACATACCAAAAGGGTAGGAAGCTCTGCGCCATCGAAGGATCCGAATCGCTAACTGCTGCAGCGCCGTTGCTGTTGTCGCGCGGTGGTTTGAGGCCTCGCGGTCGGGAGCTATTGCTGTTGCTTCGGGGAGCGGACTGAGGACGGTTGCCTCTCGGTTTCTTGTGGTTCGCCATCTGGAAAGGGGACGGGGACGTGGAGGTAGATAAATAATCCGGGACGGATGGACTGGGCGGTTTCAATCAATAGTCGAGACCAGAAAAAGCCTCAAGCGGGTTCTATAATTGGTCGGTCGGCGGATTGCTGGAGGCCGGTCGGCGGTCGGATAGGCGGCGGTGGTGGATAGATAGCTGCGGGTTCCTTGAAATATAAGGGCTCCGTGCGGTGATCGTAGCTGGGACGAGATAACGAATCCGTTGAAAGTGGGAAGTTGAAGAGAGAGAGCTGGAAGCCAACTATTGCGTTCTTCGAGGGGGGTTGTCCGAGCTGATATACAGCCAAAACCAACTAATTTCCTTCTCGAAGCTCCGTGGAAAGAATTAGTGTATTCGTTCCTTCGGTAACTTTTCAGACTTATGCCGCGGGCATTCGTTGGTGTCGGGGGCTTCGGTTCTTTCTGTTTCTGTTTTGGTGTCTCTGACACGGGGGGTAATATGAAAGAGCTAGGTAGAGCGGGCCAGGGAGCTGCGAAGGCTGCCAAAGAAGCGGATTGCAATTCCTCGGTCCCCTTCAGTCTGTTCTAAAGTGTCGTAGTGTGATCCTCTTTCCTTGCAAGCCTGGTGGATTTCGCTTGAAACTCGTGGCTCCGACTCTGGTTGACGGAGTAGTTTGGGGAGAGGCCTTCCAGAAGGTTGGGAAATAACCGATCCGAAAGTGGCAGCTAGCGGGGCGTAGGCGGAACCGGGAGAATTGTTTGAACGATGCCAGGTTGAATTGCACGGTAGTTGACGAGTTCTGGTGAGACTGCTGGGGGGTGGAGGGCACGAGAGTGGCGATATGGCTGACAATGCGAACTGACGGTGTTGCGGGAACGGGCTGGTTATGTATGTATTGAGACAGCGTTGGAATGTGGAGGCCGGCGGGTTGAGTGAGACTGCTGGGGTGGTGGGATTGGCGACGGGAGGAGGCAGAAGGGAAACTGAGAAGCTGATGGTGATTTGAATTCGAGGTGTCCGATGCTGATGGCCAGTCGAGATGCTAGGAATGGGAAGTCGAAGGAGTGTGGAGGGGCCTGGGTCTTTGTAGTTGGATCGCCATAAGCTCCGAATTGCGGTGGGTGAGTAGTTGGTAGTAGGTGTTGGATAGTGTAGGCGTTGGGTAGTAGGTAGTATAACGCGACGGACCGGCAATTGGTGAACTGCCGGGGGGTGTCGGGGGAGGGTGTGTGAGTGGGAGAGAAGGTGTGTCCTGTCCCTCTCTCGTGCTTGTCGTCTACAGACCTTCTTTTTTTTTGTTTGACTTTCGCGGGGGTGGGATGGTGGTGTGTGGGTGGTGGTGGTGGAGATGGTGGTGGTGGCCGGCCATGGTAGTGTAGTGGGAGCACTGGTTGCAGAATGGTGCAGACTGCGCGGTCACCACCACCACCACCACCACCACCATAACGGCCGCCTGGCTGGGACAGACAGAACGGCCGACCGGCAGCCAGCCACGAGAAACGAGGGTGGGTGTAGCTGGTGTAGCTGCTACTTCTTCACCATCTTGTCGGCATTCCCCACGTGCATGGCGATTGCTGCACCAAAGCTGTAGGTTTATGTCGGTGCGTAGTAGCCTCCGGGTCTATATTACCGGCGCGAGCTCTGGACACTTCTGTTCCCCGGATAGTACCTGCTCTCTGCTCTGGGTGTGATGCATGGAGAGAACGAAGGAGGAGGAGGAAAAACCCCCCGGCCGTCCAAGGAAAAAAAACTCAGTGGAGTCCCGAGATTTTCATGACAGCGAACGCCGGCTGTGAGCGAGAGTGAGAGCGAGAGTGGTGGTGGTCACTGGTGGGGGGGTCCAAAAAGCAATACGCGGCCAATGTTCCCAGGATCAGTTATCGGGTGTTGTGATTCGGAAAAAAAGGTCAAGATTCTCGCAGGCTCGTAGCCAAGGCCAGCCCAAAAAGCAAAAAGGCAGGCTGACTGCAGTGGAGGCAGGGCTGAACGGACGTTTAGTGTTCATCGGCAAGCGCCACGGCAATGGAGACCCACTCATTATTGTCACGTTCTGTGGGAGTCACGAGCGGGCTGGCGAGCGGGCTGGTGGCGGGCTGACTGACTGACTGACTGGCCGACCAGTGGCCATTCTACCGGTACCATAGCCTTCTCGGCCGGGCTGTGACTGGCTGGCCGACCGGCTGTAGTCCAGTGATCAGTGGCCCATACCATCCCAGCCTTCTCGGGCCGCCGGTTCTGGCCGTAAAGACCAGGCACTCACGTCGCACCTTCTCGGCTCAAGTAGCATACCGGTACCCGTACATTCCCACTACACATCCTCAAGGTTCCGGCACGGTGATGGCAGCCATGACGAGTTGCGGAATCCTGCTCGCAACCGCCCCCGACTCTCAAAACCAGATTTTTGTCGACAGCCTTTATGCGGATATGCAAACGCGAAACACCACGGCTTTGAGGAGTAACTACACCCCATAGTCTGGCCCTCTGGGACCAATGCTGACGTTCCATTCTGCACTTTGACGGAGCCGAGAGAGAGCGAGCGAGCGAGAGCCCGGTATGGAGATGTGATATGTGTACTTCTCGCCTGCACCTTGGTCGGCCACTCGGCCCCTTGCCTACGCCAATGCTCACCAGTGACCATCCAACGGATTTTAGTCTTCGCTAGCAAGTAGGGCAGACAGAGGAATTGGAGTAGAGCAGTTAGTACTGGCGGGAAGGGATCTTTGACGAGCGACTCCGACAGCCTAGCGCCCACGGCCCATCCATCCATCCATCCACCACCATCCATCCATCCACCATCCATCCCACTCCGCCCACGCCATGCCATATCATACCAGGTCCTGGGGGCTCCAGTTTCCCAGACAGACAGACAGAAAACCTCCAAGACCAGACAAGGTACTGAGGCAGGTATTCCAAGTCCGAATTCAAACTCGACAGCATCATGGTCAGAGCGTCAGTAGTGGTAGAGTTGGAAACTTGGGGGTTTCCGCAAATAGCTGGAGCACATACCTGTATGTAGTAGTGCACTTGGCTCCGGGGCGAAGGTGCTCTGTGAAGTGTGAAGTGTGAAGTGTGAAGTGTGAAGCGTGAAGCGTGAAGCGTGAACTCTATTCCGCAAGTCCCAGGAATTCCCCCCACAAGCACTGACCTGGATGGATCGATGGAGCATGGAGAATGGACGATGGAGCCCGTAGCTCCGACATTCCGAACAGTGCTGCAATCGGCGCTCCTCCGAGAGTCAAAGGGAACGAAGAGAGCCTACTTCCGAGGCGGGTCACGAACACGGCGGCCGCCGCAGTGCTGGTCAGTGGTAAGTCACCAGCCCGTATCGACCAGCGGCCAGTGGACTCGGATGCTACATACAGCTCCAAATCCTTGGTTTACCAATCCGCTTAGGAACGGGGGAACCTTGTTCTTCTCAGCCTCTGTTGAAACACAGAAATTTAATATGCGCGCATATGGTTGACAGATCGAGACATCGTCATGTGCACAACAGCCTGTGCCTTTTTCCCCAGTGTACCCTCGCCAAGCACCAGGCCATCCAGCCAGCCACAGCCAGCCACAGCCAGCCAGCCATCCAGCCATCCAGCCAAAGCGAACACCCTCCCCCCCGTTAGCCGCGTAAGGCCGATTGAATCGATCATCGATCCATCGAGTACCCGTCCAATTCCCATCTCGCGATCTCGATCAACATCAATGGCACAAAAGGAATCCGCAATCCGCAATCCTCACACCCACACCCTCCTTCATTCGAAAGCTGTTGCCTCTCCCCATATAACGCCCATATCCCCCTCTCACCCCCCGCGCCCTACCCTTCCAGCCCAGCCCAGCCCAGCCCCCAGCCTTGCGCGCGCGCCCTCTTCGCCCTCGAAACCGCCCTGGGTCTTCGTCACACCAATACATTTCGCCTGCACGCAAGGCTGTGACCCGGGCCACTCACACCACCACACACACACAGATTGCTCGGAGCCGTGGCGATAAGTTCAACCCCCCCTCCCCCCAAGAAGAAAAAGATAATAAGAAAGAAAATAATCAAAAGGAAAGAAAAGAAGGCGTGCATTTGATAACGGAATGTGTTTGGGATTCATCGTCATCATCATCGGACATACGAGACGCTGCTCGAATAGCATAGCCTGTACTTTACTATGCAGCTGCAACCAAGCGGCAGCAGCAATTAACAGCAGCGGCGGAGGTCGTGGAGGGGCCGCACCGTACTATCGTCACCCACCAACACCACCATCTTCTCCGCAATTACCACCCACCTCTACTTCCACCACCTCTACCGCCTCCACCACCTCCACCTCCGCCACCTCCACACTCATCGCCCGTCGCTATCGCGACATGTGCTTACTTTACTCTTTCATCCAGTGCGAACGGATGGTGGTGTGCGGTTGCATACCTATTTGCACTTGATAGACTCTTCCGGAACGTTACAGCATCCTGCCGAGGGAGGGAGGGCATGAAACTCGAACGGAGCTTGCTTGCTTGCGATAAGGAATGCCCGTCCGGATGCACAGAAGGAGTGGGGATCTGGCAACGCACTTTCGACCGTCTGCACCGCTGCAAGTGAGTCGACTCGGACTCGCTCGCTTCGGATCTGGTTACAGAATGTGGGCGAGCGGGCGGGCGTTTACCCTAGGGTAGGGTAGTGGGGTGGGAGTCGGAAGTGGGGAGGGGGTAGCAACATTGGCGGTGATGGTTGTGGTGGTGGCCGTGGTGGTCAGTGGCCGTGGTGGCGGCGGCCGATGGTGGTCATGGTGGAATTGAATTGTCGAGCGAGTTTTCGAACCGCGACGCACGCACGGACAGACGGGGGGAAACACTGTCAAGGCCTGCGGCGTTGGAGTTCCCCCATGCGGCAATCGAAACAAATCCATACTAAAAAGACAGATGTGCCAGCGCCCTGGATGCTGGTTCGTCGGGGGCCGAGAAGCTAATGCGACAACGACGACGACCTCGGCCAGACAAAGCGGGCGTGTGGATGTGTGGGTGTGTGGGTGCGTGTGTGGTACAAGTACCTTAAACGCCTCGTCAGACGTTGTGTGGTACCATATCATACATACCTACCCACCGGGGCCTGCCGAGAATTATATGATGGATCTGTCTCGGCCTTCTATTGCTCACATCTGGGACGATTGCGCGGCTTGATGGAAAAGCGGAGTGCATACAGCAATCGTCGCTATGATGTCCACAAGCAGCAATGACGGACGATGGGAATCAGATTCGAAGGCGGGAGGAACTGGAGAGGGAGAAAATGGCCACTGAGAGAACGACCCGCAAAAGGAGGGGGGGGAGGGAGCAGGAATTTTCCGTCGAGAGGATGTCGGTGGGTACTGTGGGTGGGTAATGTCACTCCATCAAATCCTTCCACATCCTTCTTTCCGCCAACGCTGCTATCTTGCTGCTGGCTGGTATCTTCCTTCCGAGTGCTTATGCGTTTCCTCGTCTAGGACAT